TGGGCTGGCACTGAACTGCTGTCCTCAAATCTCAGCTTCCTGGGTAGCTGTGGTTACAGGCGTGAGCCACCAGCACCTGGCTGGTAAAATCTTGATTAGATTCTTTTGTTACAAGCTTTTATTACCCCATCTTCAGCTTAATATTGGCAGGATGTTGGGGATAACTGAGATGGATGTTTCTCTTGAGGTCAGGTATTTTAAACTTGGATTAGGCCATTTATACAAATTTCAAAAATGGGAGGTAAATTTCCTCACCACTTGGAGCCTAGAACATTTAGGTTAACTTTGGTGACAGTCTTCTGAATTGCATTTGTCCACTTCCAGCTTACTTTCCTACCTTTCTGTTTTCTGCCATCAGTCTTTTTATTAACTTCCCATTCTTTGGCTCTTTAGTTCTGAACTAGTCTTGCCAGTTCAAGTCAGTCTTGTTTTCTAACGGGATGTATTAACTAACAGGGGCACTGTTACTTAACAGCAATTTACTTAAATCATTCTGGAGCATGATTAAGGATTAAAAGTTGCTTGACAACATGACCATGTGCACTCTCACAGTTCAGAAAGCATACAGACTGCAGATAAGAACCACCATTTTGAGTTTTTAACTCCCATTTCCAATATGATGGAAGGCAGGAAATGTTCTCTTTACACTGTGATTCTAAAATTCTTTCTGCAACTTCAACAAAGTTCTGGGTTATGAATTTTAGAGATATAATCTCTAGTGTAGAAGCTTATGGCAGAAAAGTCTAAGTCCAATGAGGTAAAATGATCTTTCACATGTACATGGGAAGGATAAGTCAGGGGAGAAGACCTTGGTATGTATGTTCTTGTGGACCACACAAGGCCTTCAGTCAAGTATTTCAGTTGCAAACCAAACCCCTGCTCCACTTCATTGACTCATTTTGTCATTTGCATGTGTCTAGTACATAACGGATGTATTAGAAGGATTCAGGAAGGTAAATCATTCAGTGAGCACACAGTGAGTAAATGGTGCTCCCTTAAAATTGAGCGGAAGAGTAAGGAGTTAAAAGGCCCTTGAGACTTACGAAGGGCTTTCCACTCAAGAAAAAGGGATCTCAAAACATGAATGGAAAGCAATTCAAAGATTTTTGTAGTGTAAGAAGCTAGTAGTAGGTTGGGCATGTAGCTCAAGTGGAAGAGGTTTCAGGTGTTGGTTTGATCCCCAGTACTGAAAAAGAAATGGAAAAGTTCAACCAACTACTAGGGTCACTCTGAAGGGCACTGGTAAGTGAAATAGAACTTGGGTGAGGCTATCTACTGGATGGATGGAATACAGCTGTTCAACATTATTCGATCCACAAATATGCTGGGGGACATACCCAGTACTTCATTGTAAGGCAAGTGCTCTAACATGGAGCCGGTTACATCCCCAGAGTTAGTACTTACTGACAGAGCTTAAAGTGCTGTTTTTGCTGGCTGCTGTTCAGCTGCATTACACAAGTTGGTCACTAGGAGGCATCAGCTCATCACTTAACTGGGGCCAAAAGAAAAAAAGCCAGACCTGCAAGAAGTCTAGAAACTGCTGTTAATATTTAACCTTCTGACCCAACTTCTGGAAGTTAGAATTTTTAATAAAAATATTGAGTAATATTTCAGAAGACGAAGATACAGGTGGCTAAGTTGCACCTGAATGGGAGACTTATTTCCTTGTTTCTTTGAGACAGTCTTGTTTACCATCATAGCTGGCTTAACTCTTGAGAGACATTTGACCTTGGTACTATCCAAATTTAAGATTTAGGTTTAGCTTGTGTAGTAGTTCAAAAATATGCCAAATGTATTTCAGCATGGCAAATTTTGGAAGTTTTTTTTAATAGACTTAAGTTTTAGAAACTAGAATATGTTATGAGAAATGTCAAAAGACTGTAAAGAAACTGCTTTTTAAAAAGGACAGGCTGGTCATACAAAAACTTTTCACATAGGCTAAGAACTACTGAGTATTGGGACACATCCAAACAATGGACCTTGCCTTCTTGAAAGCTTAATTCTATTAAAAGGCATCAACTAAGTGACAGTCATAGTAAATTACAAAATACTGTTGGAAGATGTCACATTACTACAGAATAGGTCACATTAAGAAGCAAAGTCTTAGTGGTGATTATGATTGTTGTGTTGAAGGTGGGCGATAGGATATGGGTAAAATCAGAAGTTTTACTCAATGAAAGTTTGTTCAGTATTTCCATCCTAACGAATGCATGTAAAAACTCAAGGCGAATTTATGGCAGAGCATGACAAAAGCAGAGCTGTTCACACTATTTCTTCCAACCCGATACTCTGGACTGTTGTGAGGAGCCTTGTTTAGTGGTGTGGATGCTGGCCTTCATATTCAACCTACACAGCCCCCTTACACATCAAGTATGCATAATGGTGACTGCATTCATTCCTTGGAATCATCTGATGGCCATTTCAGCAGGGCGTTTGGAGTTCTGAGTGACTGGGTGTGATCTAGAGAGCTTATATGTTCTAGATGATACATTTTGACTAAAAAGCGTTCCCCAAGCTAACATGTAAAAGAGCCTCTTGGCCTTGAATTAGTACTCATGGAGGAGTTTTGGCTCCATCAACCCAGCAGGTGGATGGATGTAAAACAGATCAAGGTGGTGATATTTCTTTGGGAGCTCATATCTGAGCTCTACTGTAGAGAAATAGAGGGAAAAACAAATATCAGCTTAACATCATTGGTCTGGAGTATATTAGGACAACTTTTATGTGATCCTAAGTACTCCAGACACTGAACTATTAGTATAATCCAGGGATTGGTTTTGAGTACAAATCTATAGATTCTTCAGTTCTATCTAGTGCTATTTTCTTTAAGGAATTGTTCTATAAACCCATTTTCTATGACTTATAATCTCAGACTTTATCATGAACTACTTAATGTCTACATGAGGAAGTGTTCCCTTGCCTAGCATATTATGCTTTTAATTTAGTAGTCTTTTTATTCCTTGCAAGCAGTGGAGGACAGGAGTTTCGGGTTATGGCATGTGGTGAGACTGGATGAACAAGGGAATGTGAAGAGGGCTAAATTCTGAGGCCAGGGAGTAGAGGAGACTGAGTAGCTACACTGATAGAAAACTTAAGATGTCCTTAAAGTCAAATGAATAAGAAGAAAAAATAACCACTTAGATGCTGCTGATAAAGTTGATATCACCAGCTATAACATGCAGTTTGAATGATTTCAAGTTTACCGAAGTAATAATTACATTAGCTACTTTTCTAAATTTCGGTAACTTGTATTTCACATCCAAGAGCGTTTTTGAAAGTTATGCTGGCTGTTAGACATTTTCAAATGATTTTGGAAAAGTAATGTTTTTATTACATCTTGAACGCACCAGATACATTCAAGTTTCTACTAAGAAAATGGGTTGGGCTTTTTTTTTTAACCCAAATTTAAGTTTTCCCATATGAAATATCTTTATCAAATACGCCTTCCCTCACAGATTTGAATTGTTTCCCAAATGAGCTAAAGAATATGCTCTGAAATTTTAGGTAGTACTGGCGTTTGAATTTGGAGTCCTATGTTTACCACGTGAGCCATAACCGTAACTATTTGGTTTTTCAGACTGTGCCTTCCACCTTTGCCTGGGTGGGCTTGGATCCTGTTCCTCCTACTTATGCCTTCTGAGTAGCTGGGTTTACAACATTTATGCCACTGCTCTGCTTTTAATTGAGATGAGTCTTGCTCTTTGCCCCAGCTGCCTTCCAACCATAACTCTCCTGATCTCTGCCTCCCAATAGAAACCTTTGCACAATTTTAACAATGGACTTTCTCCTTAAAAGAAAGTATTAACTGTGTGAGAGTCCTGCAGTCTGGCCAGGTACAATTTAATGAGACTCAAGATTGGGGTGGAATTGTCCCATTTGTCCATATATACCTTCCCTGTTTAAAAGACATCTTTAGTTCTGATTTCTTTGGGATTTCAGGTTCCTTATCACGCTGAGGATTTGATTATGTCAGCTTGGATCAGGCCTCCTCTTGAATTCTTTGTTCCAGCCATCTACCTATTGTAAGCGCCCTGCTTCCCCCCACCCCGTCTTTCCCCCTTGGGCAGTGAAGCAGCCTTTCCTTTTACCCTGTCCAACTTGGATACTCCCCGAGTTGGAATATACTTGGAGGTCCCTCTAGACAAATTTCCCTAACAGGAGGCTAGTTTGGCTTACACTGTTCTTTCCTGTCTCCCAGAAAGCAACTCCTGCAGGAATTAAAGGTAAGATCAGAAGGGATCTGAACGCTTCCTTCCCTGGATCACAGTGATTGAGATGTTTGGAGGGCTAACCTGTGCCTTTCACGTGTGAGACCTAGCCCCCGGCAGGGCACACACCCGGTTGAGTCACTACAGTTCTGAGAGATGGTGCCGGATTGTTGGGTCTGTGGAGAAGGAAGCCCACAGAGGTTCTGACGTGGGTGGAGATGGCTACTGCTGATGAGCCCGGGTGGAGGAGGAAGGTGAGGCGCACCTGTCTGCCCTCTTCACACGCTGGACAGACGGTCCCTCCACGGTTTCAATGCAGCACCTCTTCCACTTCCAGAAGAGGTTACTTAATGACTGGGCCCTGTGCGCCTGGGGAATCCGCACTGCCGCGGGCCTCAGCTCGCCCGCCAGGCCCCTCTAGCCCTGCCCGCTCTCGGCCGGGCCAAACCCTAGGCTTAGTCCCGGAGGACCGGGGCCCGCTTAGCATTCCAGGCACTGCCAGGCAGCTGTCGCGCTCAGCGCGGTCCGCACTCGGGAGCCCGCGCGGGGCCGGGGGTAGGCGGGACGGGGGCCGGAGCGGTGGCCCTCCAGCGCCCTCGGGGTGGCGGTGGCGCTCCGGGCAGCTGGCACGCTCTGGGCGATCGCCTGGGAGGAGAGCCGCTTCCGGAGCTCGGATCCCCGCCGGCCGGCGGCCGCCTCGGCCGCGGAGCGGCGCGGAAGCCCGTGGGCGGCGAGGGGCGGAGCCAGGGGCGGGGGCGTGCTCGCAGCCGGCTTCGGGAAGGCCCCAAGTTAATGAGGCGTGCGCCGGCCGCCGAGCGCCTCTCGGAGCTGGGCTTTCCCCCGCGGCGCGGCCGCCAGGAGCCGCCTTTTCCGCTGGGTGTCACTCGGGGGTGGGGAGGATGGCCCGTTCAAAAGCGCCGCGAGGGGGCCCGGCCAGTGCCCTTCAGTGAGCGCTCGCCAGAGGACGGCCGAGGCCGGGCAGCTCGCGGCCCCGGGACCTGGAGGCGCCTCAGGACGCGGCTGTCCCTGTGCCGGGACCCCGAGCCGCCGCCGCCGCCGCCGCCGCTCTGCTTCCTGCGCCTGAGCCTCCTCTGCGCGCTCCGGACCGGCGGCCGCGGGAGCCGCTGGGGCGAGGACGGCGCTCGGCTGCTGCTGCTGCCCCCAGCCCGGGCCGCTGGAAGCGGAGAGGCCGAGCCGAGCAGCGGAGGACCCGCTTATGCCGGGAGGATGCTGGAGAGCAGCGGGTGCAAGGCGCTGAAGGAGGGCGTGCTGGAGAAGCGCAGCGACGGGCTGCTGCAGCTCTGGAAGAAGAAGTGCTGCATCCTCACCGAGGAGGGGCTGCTGCTCATCCCGCCCAAGCAGCTGCAGCAGCAGCAGCAGCCGCCGCCGCCGCCGCCGCCGGGGCAGGGGGCGGCCGACCCGTCCCAACCCAGTGGCCCCGCGGTCGCCGGCCTGGAGCCGCCGGCCAAACTCAAGGAATTGCACTTTTCTAACATGAAGACCGTGGACTGCGTGGAGCGCAAGGGCAAATACATGTACTTCACGGTGGTGATGGCGGAGGGCAAGGAGATCGACTTTCGGTGCCCCCAGGACCAGGGCTGGAACGCCGAGATCACGCTGCAGATGGTGCAGTACAAGAACCGTCAGGCCATCCTGGCCGTCAAGTCCACGCGGCAGAAGCAGCAGCACCTGGTCCAGCAGCAGCAGCAGCAGCAGCAGCAGCAGCAGCAGCAGCAGCCTCCACCCCCGGTCCCCCAGATCCAGCCTCCACCCCAACCCCAGTCTCAGCCTCAACCCCAACCCAAGCCTCAGCCTCAGTCACTCCACCCTTACTTACATCCTCATCCGCACGCGCACCCGCACCCCCACCCGCATCCACACCCGCACCCCCACCCGCACCAACTACAGCACCCGCACCAACTGCCGCCGCTCTCGCAGCCGCACGGCCACCGGCTGCTCCGCAGCACCTCCAACTCCGCCTGAAGGCGGCAGCACCCGGGCCAGACGCGGTAAGCAAGGTGCCGGCAACTTGGGAGAGCTGGAGAGCGCGCGGGTGGGACGGGGAGGAGAGCAGGCCGCTTCCTGCGGGGCCACCCGGGGCTAGAGAACGGAGAAGCCGTGCCAAGTTTCTTAAGGGGTGGAAAGAAGACCGCGGGGAGAGGCCGGGGTTGAGGGACTCTGGGCAGGCCTGGAGGCCGAATGTCCCGTCCAAGCAGACGTGCACCCCCCCCCCCTCCCACACCCCCTCCCCAGCTGTCCTGGTTCTGAGCCCTGACTGTGTGCCTAGGCGCTGGGGAAAACAGCCCGCCTTTGTGGTCAGCTTTTACCCTCTAGACTGACCCAAGGAGAAAACGGGTCTTGCAGGATTCTGAGCCACCTACTTTATCCGGTGTCTTTTTTTGTTTTGTTTTCTTCCAGGTTTGGAGGACTTGAGGAAGTGGGGCGATAGCATTCGATGGTCTTCCCTTGGATAAAAAACAACAAAACCACAACCTAACCACAACAACAAAAAACCCCAACAACAAATACAAAAAAACCTTGTAAAACTGTCTCCCCGTCCCAGCCTTGATCGAGATGTTTGGATGTCACGCGACCGATTCCTTAGATGTCTGCACATTCTTCACCACAGGACGGGAAAGGATGTTGGAGTCAAGAAGACTTTATTTATGAACCTCTGAAAGGATATTCGTACGAACGTAGTGGACCTTCTAGGAGCGACGATGTACTGTAATTTTATTTAAATGTATGTTTTGGTTTATGATTATTTATTAGTTTTTTTAAAGACCTTGTTCTAAGACATTTCTGAATGTAGGGCATTTTTCAAAACACACGCACACGCACACACACACACACACACACACACACACGCACACAAACTTTCTTTTCAGAAACCAGAATAAGTTCCAGTTTTGCAAAAAGAAACAAGAGAAAGGGGTGGTGGTGAGGAAAACATTAAGACTCCATTCGATATTCCTAGCGCATTTTTCAGAAGACCTGGTGCTTTCATTGTTATACCAGGTGGTGATACTTTTTTTTTATAGGCTTTTTTTTTTAGATATTTGGATAAGTGTATAGAGAAGTTTTTAAAAACTCAGAATTGTACAATTATGGAAATGTAGCATTCAAGATAATGCTTTTCTTAAAGGAAACCAGTAGTAATGAGACTTGATTTCAAAGTATTTTGAAACATAACCCAACTGATAGATAGCAGGATGATTATACTTGGATGAGGTGGTAGGGCTGGTATATCACCTGTGTGTTGCAGACCCTGAGTTCAATCCCTAGCACCTCTCTCCCAAGGGACTGTTTTTAATTGATCATAAATATAAATGCATAAGTATTTCAGTTCAGAAATGAAGGGGATCATTTAATTTAATCAAGTATTTGCCGATCAAGACTTCCCTTTAACCAAGATTTTTGCACACTAGACTTGAACACCATTTTCTGATCCTTTTTACTTTGTCCTAGAAACACACTAATAAGTCTTGTCATTGATTCAGCATACAGTTTGTAGCTATTTCTGAAAACTAAGCGTTATAACTTTTGTCTTTATACTGAAAATAATGTTGCATAGAGAAACCAACGTTTTTTTCTCTTTATTGCTCTGAGAAATTTGAGGGTTGTATGTTTTACTTAGATTGTTAAATCCAATTGTAAAAGGAAGGACTGGATAAACACTAGATTTTCAGTAAGAAAACAACCCCAGTCTTGTTTTTAGCAGCCACTTGTTTAGGCGTCTGAAGGGCGGGGGAGGAAAAAGGATGTGCTTTTAAAGGTAGAACAAACCCTCTTCTGTGTTAAATCAAAGGGATGGTCAAATCCACAAGGACAGATGCTACTTTAACTGTATATGGAACCACAAATGATACCCAATCCTCCTGGGGCTACAAATCACTTCCTATCTGCATGGCTTTTCTAATGGGTTTCTGTTTCCCATTATCTTTTTCACAGGGTCTTGGTCAGTATTTTTCCAGTATCCAAATTGAACCAATCACTAGTAGACCATTGATAGGTTATGTGGTCAAGAAATGAAAATCGAATTTCCTACTGGAAATGTCTTTATTCTCCCATATAGAAAGAAGTATTAATGAACTTTTGAGAGATTCAATTTCGAGATCATAATGCATCCAAAACTTTGCAGGGGAGTACTAAAACTTAAGCAGAAGCTGTAAAGTGGACTTCTGCTTCTGAGAACTGTTTACATTGCAGTTGTAAAAATAGGCTGCCAAGATGTAAAAATCTAATATTTGTATATGACAGCTTGGAGAGTCCGTTTGAAAAATCCTTTGTTAAGTTTGCCTTGACTTCCTTAGAACTTTTGCTCTCTTTCAGTGAGTGTTCCGTACTATTTTAGTTTTAATACATGCTATTATTCTAATTCCCAATTCTTTCCAAAAGGAGGATTTTTTTATTCTGAATTCTTGTGTTGTATAAACTTAAAACCCATAGCAAATAATTTGAAATATATCTATATAGAGAGATATAAGTATATAGATATACAAGTATATAGATATACCCAGACGCCCTTTTAAATGCTGGCAACCATGGCTCTTAACAGGGCAATCAGAATCTTTGTTTTTTTACTTTGTCCGTAGTTTTTGTTCTGCTGTAACATTTATGTTGAATTGACCTGGCTTTCTAGTCTAAACCTCCTTTAAACTGCCAAATTTGAAACTTCAAATAGAAAAGAGTAGGGTGGTTTTTATTATTTTGACACTTTGAAATTACTATAACGTAATCATTTTCCAGAGCAAATGACCATACATGCTTAAAAAAAAAAACTAATAAAACAAAATACAAATACACATCTGTAGTATCTTGCTGGCTCTATGTATTAAAAAAAAAAAAAAAGATACAAACCCCGTGAACTGACAAAGTCAGCTTCAAGAAACAAGATAAAAGAATTTTAACCCCAGAAAAGACACAAAAGGGCAAGTCCCAAGAGAAAACCTACCCCTTAAACAAACAAACAAACATAGAATGTCAAAGGTTGAAAAGTTAAAAGGAATACTCATCCATCTGGAAAGTGAACTTTCATCCTTGAACTTGTGTTAGTGCCCTGCCTCCTCCATAGTCTGCTCAATAACTATTTGTTAGGATGAATGAAAGAAGGAAAAAAATGTTTCTTTCTCTTCCTCAATGAGTATTTCCTTTTAGGCTTTCATGTTTCCTGAGAACAACTAATTCTGGGACAGGCTAAGCATCATGAAGTTCTTTAAACTTGTTTTCTTAGCAGAAATCCAGTTAGATCTGCTTATGCCCAAGGCCAGAGAGTAAATGTCTGTGAAGGAGCCATTTTAAAATGAGCATTCCAGCAAGCTGGAATTCTCTGATCATCGTATGAATTAAGCCAACTTCCTCATTTTATAACTCACATTTTTCCCACTGATGTCTTAAAAAAAATCCTACACATTGCTTAAAAGAATTTCTCTTGCATGTAAACACTTAGGAAATCTGGCTTAATGTACGCTCGTATATCAAACACCCCATTTCTCCTCAGTTTCAATCTGACACTAAAGTTTGCTGTTGGTGTGTGAGTTCAAACATCCCTCAGTTTGTGTCCACAGGGAACATGAAATGGCTTAATTTGACTGCAGGTGTTAATAATTGGGGGAGCAGACTCAGAAAAGGGATTTAGGATCTGGTGAACATATACTAATTCTAAAGCTCTTCCAAAGAGCTTCACTGAACAAGGATGGGCCTGTGAGTATGTTTTGTTTTTTGTATCAAAGAATGTGTTCTTGTTTTACCAAGAAACACTGTCCACATAATAACATTGAAATTTGGATTTGGTAGATCATGGGATGGAAGCCATGTGATTGTCTCAAGAGAAATATTCTTATTTAAAAAGCAACCTAATACATCTTAATTGTGGAAGTGCGTTGAGTGGGGTTTAAAAAAAAACAAAACTATTTTCTATTTCTTGACCCAGTTTTGAAGTCTGACACTTAATCTTTAGTATTTTATGCCAATCCAGATTTATATACAATCGGGTAACACAGTCACCTTTGACTTTGTTGACAGGGGACAGAATGCTTTGGGCTGGGGGGATAGCTGAATGGTGGAGTTCTTGCCCAGCCTGTGTGAGGCCCTGGGTTTGATAACCCTTCGGTCTGTCTCAAAAGGAATTCTTGTTGAAGTCATCAGAAACATCTCCATAGAGGGGAGGGGAGTCTGCTCCCCAGTACTCTGAATCTGGATGAGTGGGAAGAGGGTCTTTGCAGAAAGATCAAACTATTGTCTATTAACATCCTGTGGTCAGCCTCTACTTCAAGTTTCACAATATGTAACTGCCAGTTTCTGGAAAGCAAGTATCACCATGTACAAAATGCTTTACAGATGATTGTAGCATGGTCAGAATTTGTGTAAATAGGTCTCTTAAATGATTTTGGAGAGATGTGATTTATTTTTCATATTTTCAAAATGCATTCCATTTCAAATAAAGTATCTATTGAGATGACTGCCCTGTGGATCTTTTGAAGGCCTCATTCACCTTACACCCACACTGCATGCCTATAGCACCAAGGTTCTAAAGAGCTTGGCTGATGTTAATGCTGACCATTATCTGTGAAGAAGAAAATGACATTTGAGGTATGAATTTACATTTTCAGAAATTCAGTCAGGCATGGCAGGCACATGCCTGTAAATCTAGCACTCTGGAAATTGAAGCAGGGAGATTGTGAATTCAAAGTTGACCTAGTCCACATAATGAGAGATGCTGTCTCAAAAAATAATTGGGAATTTTAATATGATTCTTGCTTATGTTTTGGTGAAACACTTAGCATTCAAAATGCTAATAAAATTTAGATTGAACTTTCCATGGTTTGCTACAGCATGAGAGATTGTCTCCATTGAATTAGCTTGAAGACAATTTTCTCTTGAGTCTTGGGTCTTTTGAAAGAATAAAGCTTTGACTTAAAGAGAACCCTGCTTTAAAAAAGATGTCTATAAAATCTCCTGTTTTGTGTTGAATGCAGAAGAGAGACTTGGTTCAATAAAGAGAAATAGTATCACTTTTTCTTATACTCTCCATTGGTATCTAAATCTCAAAAGATTTTAAAATATAAGCTTTGTGCTCTTTTATTTTGGAAGCAAGATCTTGTTACATGATCCACACTGGCCTCAAACACATGATCCTCCCGCCTTTCTTTGCTTCCTGAGAACTGGAAATATATGTGTGGACTCATATGTTTGGCTCTGTATTCAACAAATATTTTTTAAAAATTATTTAGAGTACTATCATTTTGATGATTTTTTTTTTTTTTTGCTTATTACTGTCTCCCCTTGGCTGGTGCATTAATGTCTCTTAAGATTAGACAATACCTATGTGTAGCTGATACATGCCATCCACATTGCCACTTGGAACAGCATGAATGAACAGGAGTGTCAGTAGCTGTCCTGCTATCCATGAGTGAGCCATTTCTACCAGGAAACCACTCCCCAGGGAGGACCACCTTACTCTGATCACAGCCTTTTGAGTAGCTCCTATCTAGTGAGTTTGTTTTGGGGGACAGAAAAGAAGCCAGCCTCTGTGGTCCAACAGAAAAATAAATAAATAGAGAAAGCGATTCCAATCCAAATAAGATTATATAGAGAACTCAGATGTTATAGCAACTAAAGAAAAGAACACCAAATAATTCCTAATATTCATAAATTTTGAGTCAAATCTGTTTGTATTAAAGTAGGAAGAACATGAGCATAACATTGCAACTGTCCAGAATTATACACACACGCACACACACACACACACACACACACACACACACACACACACACACACACACACACACACACACACACACACACACACCACATCCCTCTCTGAATAATAAACTCATTGGCTATTATGGTTTGACTCTTAAATGCCCCCTAAAGGCTATGATGTTGAAGGCTTAGATGCTGTCCGGTGGTGCTACTGGGAGCTGGTAGAATTTTTAGTAAGTGGGACCTAGGGGAAGGAAGTTAGGCCATTGGGGGCTGTGGCCCGGCAGAACATAGTGGCACTCTATCCACACCTCTCTCTGTCTTTTGCTTTTCAGGCTTCCCCTGCCATGTGCTTCTTTCATGATGTCACATTTCATTGTTGTCCCAAAAGCAAAGGGACCAATAGATTGGGACTATGGATTGAAACCTCTAAGTCTATTTGCCAAAACAGGCCCTCTCTTCCTTGTCTGTCACTTATCACTGTGACAGAAAGCTTGCTAACATGACCTGTGAGTCTTTTCAGAAACGTATGCTGCCTTGTGTATTCCTAAAAGACCTGTTGGAAATCCTTTCACCAGCCAGAAGGAAAGGCCATCGCCAGGTGACTCACATGGGGTGGATGACCTGGAACCGTAGCCTTCCTTACAGAGTGAGTCAGTACCTGAGGACAGTTCAGACAGTAAAGTCCACCCTCTTTCCCCTTGATGAACTGCTTCACAGACAGTAGTGGGGAGTGTAGCTTGCACCCTGTGAGGGCATTCACCTGAAACATTTGATGTGTAGTTAAGGCTCCGGAAATGGAAACTTAGAAAAAACAGTGTGTTCATGTTGCATCCTCTCAAGCCCTGCCAAAGTCATGGATCATAACGTGAGGGAACACATCCCCTTCCTCCAGTAAGACCACACATCCTGTGCTCCCAAAGCAACTGAAACAAAAAATGACTGTTCAACCAGTGTACAGGAAGAAACAGGAAATGACTCTTGGGGAGTTTCAAAGTTGTAATTATGTCACTGTCTTCTACTAGTTTTCTCCTGAAGTGGATAGTTCATACAGTTCATTTCCTACTAAAGGTGACAGCTCAGTTATTTCACAAGTATTCTGAACTTTGCTGTAGCAAATTCTAACCAGTAGTGTGGCATACTCCGGCAGGTCTGACTCATCAGCTCAAAGAGCGGACCAACCTTGTGACTCATCGCAGTCAAAGGAGCCAAACTTGTAACAGTTTTAGACATAGTCTCAACCGCTTCTTGCCTTCTTCCCTACCTGTCTCCCTTTTTTCTCTCTGTCTCTCCCTTTCCAACCCCCCCCCCCCCTCACTGGGTCCCTCTCCCTTTAGCTACTAATGAAATATTCATTTCATGAGGTGTGATGATGCTCACACCTATAATCCCAGCATTCAGGAGGCTGAGGCAGGAGAGTTGCAAGTTAAACCCAGCCTCAGGTACCCAGTGAATTCCAGGCCAATTTAGTCTACATAGCCAGAATCTCAAAGCAAAAAACAAAACCAAAACAAATGTCTATTTCTATAAAGCTTGGCTTTAGTTGGTAAACCTTGAATGGTCCTTGCAAGTATAAATGCATACAATTTTTGTGTGTTCCTATGTTGTTCTACACCTTCCCAGGTTTCCTTGCTCTTAGCTTTGTTGGCCTATGAAGGCTAGTTGGTCTGTTTGGGTGTGGAATTAGACAGGTAAGCATTTGAAACAGCGCTGGGCAGAGTTAGCCTATCCAGAGCTTTCAGCAGTCTGCATTGAAGGTTAGTCCCTACCCTGCCTGAATGCTTGTTATGCAGCAGTGGTGGCCTGTGGTGGTGCTAAGTTGCTTTCAAATTCCCTGTTGAATTTCAGCACTCTTGCTGGGACAAATGGCTTTGTGTCAGTGGGAGAAGAATTACTCCTAGTCTCCAACAGGATAGATGGACATTAGTATATGGAGCACATCTGATACTGGTCACACTGTGCTGACTCAGTATGGAGTAGTTGTAATCATTGCCAGATGTTTAAATGAAATTCCCGCTGCCTTTGGATAGTGTTAGGTAGTTATGAAACCTGAGTTTCTTGACTTTAGCAGCTGAACCCAGGCTACTAGTTGCTTTCTATAACATGGTAGGCCAAAATGCTGAGTTTGAAATCAGAAAGATAATGGTATGTAAGGAGCTTAGACAAATATCAGCCTTCCCTCTCCATTTTAGCGAGGAAGAAAATGAATCTTGGACTTGGAAAAAATTAAGTGAAGTAAGCCAGACCCAAAGAAACATGTATGTTTTCCCTCATTTGTAATAATTAGAATGTGCCTATAAATCTACAAGTAAACCCAATAGATAGTAAAAGACAAAAAATTACACTTGGACATGATAAAGTAAACAGGACTGTAAACATTCACACAGTGAGACCAAAGAAGGGTATTCTTAGGAGAGGTTCACAAGGGCTCCATAGCTATGTGCTTATGATCATATAAAATGATGCTTATCAAAATGAGCTCCAAGAAATGGAAACAAGAGGTTTTGAAAATTTACTCTTTGTGGGATTTTTTTTTTCCTTTCTGCTTTTCCCCCTATGTTGCTGTTTTTTATTTATGTACCTTTTGTCTTGTATGTAACTATTCAGTTTGGGGAGGGTAAGGGGAAACACAGGAACAGGGGGACAAAGGGTGAACTAATTCAGCAGTGATACTTACTATACAACTATATAACTCGTAGGGGAGGGGGCTCAGGAGGGAAAAAACTGGGGAAAAATGCAGGAAGAGGTGACACTGTTCAAAAAGAAATGTACTCATTACCTAACATATAACTGTAACCCTTCTGTACCTCACTTTTACAATAAAAATTAAAAAGAAAAAAGAAAATGAAGTTTTGAGGTGTTATCTGCCCAATATCCCACCAGCAGTTAAAGGCAGAGACGATAAGAACTTCAATGCAGCTCCCAGGGTTCTTAATTACATACATATAAGATGATTTATCTTACAAATAATCACTTGAACCATTTATACAACATTCACAAACTTTTCAACATTTAGGTGAAAAGGTTCATAGATTCATTACATCTTTTTTCTCCAAAACTATAATTTTTATTTTAATAAAATTGTTGAGAAAGGGTTTGTTTTTGTTTCTTTCCTGGGCCTGGGGCTTGAACTCAGAGCCTGGGCACTGTCACTGAGCTATTTTGCTCAAGAGTAGCACTATAGTGGAATCATCTACATCTGGTCTTTTTGGTAGTTAACTGGATATAAAAGTCTCATGGACTTTCCTGATTAGCCCAACTTTGAAATACCATACTTAGATCTTACCCTCCTAAGTGACTGGGATTATAGGTGTGAACCACTGGTACCCAGCAATAGTTTTGAACTCTTGATCTCTCTGCCTCTACCTCCCAAGACATAAAGTCTTCTTATGGTCCTTATAGATATTAAGAACACTGGTAAAAAATAATTGACTAGTTTAATTTTAGTTTTTTTTTAAAGAACTGTGATTTAGTCCTCAAATAATAATCTAACCATGAGTTGTAGAAATATAAACCACATGAATTAATAGAAACCTCAAACAATTACACAAAAGAAAACAAATATATTTTGAAATGAACATATTTCAGAATAAGGCTGTCCTGCTGTTTCTATATAGATGTGTATCTATATAAGTGCATTGAACACCATTTATTTAGAAACGGGACTAAAAGCTATTGGAAATTTATTTTATCTCAGGAGTCTTAAAATATTCATGGAATGTTTCCAGTATAGCTAGTCCCCCCCTGAGGTCTTGAAATTATCTGTGCAGTTGGAAAATGTTCAAGTAATTTGAATGTTTATTCAGTTATTTGAGGACTCAGGCTTTCCTAGCCTCTGTAATATGGTGACAAGGGAAATAATCTCTTAAAAGGGTTGTTTTTGTTGTTGTTGTTGTTTTTGGTGGTTGTTGTTTTGTTTTTGGTGTTGGAAATCTAAGCCAGAGCTTGAAAAATTCTAGGCAACCTGTTTAACTTTGAGCTACACCTTCTCCTCTTCCCCCGGCAACACAAAAGGTTTACTTTAAGTAAAATACCTGTAGATCATGAGATCTATGTATCTATAGATTTATCTGTGAGGTCATAAAGGTAGACAGTAAAACCTGTGGCTCCCCTTCTTGGCACCAGGTGAAAGTCATTCACATTACCATCAAATTAAATCTATGTAATAGTTTCTCTTTTAAAAATCTTTCTAGACTATTGAAAAACAAAAAAAAAAGATAATATTTTCTACTGTATTTCTTTAGCTCAAAGAGTCAACGTGAAGATTTTAGAACTGGTAGGGAGGAAAAAAAAAGATTTCCAGAGAATCCATGTAATTGGCCTCCAACGATCTGCGTTCTAGTCCGAATTATGTATGTGCTCTGTCTGGTGACACCAGTATTTCTTCTTGCATAAAATAACGCTTCCCGAAGTTTCATTCACAGCTCTTGGCTCCCTCCCAGAGTCAGGCACTTGTCACAAGGCAGCAGGTTCCCTGCTGGTTCTTGTGCCATGATGACTGGGACGCTTGATAGGGTCAATGCTGACAGCCGCTTTCTCTGACAGAAGATTGTCAGCATTCTTGACCCGGGCACTCTGGAAGCCTGGGAAAATACTTGGATTTCAATGTGGCTTTAGAAAACAATATTGAGTTGAACCAAATGATTGTCAAAGAGGTCTGCAGGAAAGCTTTTGTGTGATTAGATGGTTCTCTGTCTCCTAAACTGATTCATGACTACCTCAGCCCACAATCAGGGTACCCTGTTGTTTAACATGCATTTCATAAAGAATCATTGTCATACGAAATTAATATTCTTACTTCAAACTTATTGCAAGGAAATTAAGGTTTAGGATTGGCTGGGCACTGCTGGCTCAAGCTTATAATCCTAGCTCCTCAGGAGTCTGAGATATGAGGATCATAGTTTGAAGCATGCCTGGGCAGAAAAGTCTGTGAGATTCTTATCTCCAATTAAGACCAAACATCCAGAAGTGGGGATGTGACTCAAATGGTAGAGAACCAGCCTTGAGGAAAAAAAACAAAAAACAAAAAAACTAAAGGACAGTATATAGGCTCAGAGTTTAAATCCCAGAACACACACACACACACACACACACACACACACACACACACACACACACACACACACACACACACACGAAATAATCAGGCATGAGATAGAAGGGGGTGAGTTGTAAGGCAGGTGAGAAGATTCTGTCCTGTAGACATATGAGGCAAAGTGAAAGATTCCCACCAGGCCTGGACAGGGAGGAGATCTAGTAAGAAAATAGACAGGAAG